TTTTTTACAGATGGGATATTAAAAAGAAATCATGGCTTGAAGCTTGAGCGTTTTGTAGACATATAGAGGCGAATCTGACCAATATTAACAGTAAAGATGAGATACCATTACTAAGAAGAGCAGTATAGTGAGTATTTGCTGTGTGTTTATCTTGCCAGATTTAAGAGACGTTTCATATGAGCTGTTATGAATGCTCTTAAATGATTTCTGAAACATAAAAATTTCTCAAAAGCAAAAAAATTGTGATGCTTAGAAATTTTGTCTGCTCATGAATGTTTTTAACTCTTTCATGTAAAAAAGAGGTTTTTTTGTATGCAGGAAATTAAAAAAAATCTAGTATCATTATTACTAGGTAGATGGAATTGTGGGGGGTGGTATTTTTAGTAGGGTAGAAACCATGACCAGTAGATTTACTTTTGACTCACCCTGAAGCAGTCAATGCTGAGATCAGTTTCTGAATCTGTGAAGGCCTTTCCTAAGAGAATATAGAGGAAATACAGGTTCAGTACTAGTACTAAGACTGATAATTAAGCTATTGCCATTGAGCCATACAAATGTGACATATTTCTATGAAGAACGTAGGTATATGTATGCACTTCAAAAAAGGTATGCACTTCACAAAAGGTAATGAGGTGGTTATTACAACTTCACTGAAATTTGCAGTGTGCTCCAGAATGCTTAACAATGTGCTTCTGTGTGTTTTTTGTGTTGATGTTTACACACTGCTCTGCCTTGTAATTTCTGTTAGTGACAGTCGCTGTAGCTTTCAAACAGTTTGGATTAGTTTATTTTCCTTGAATCCAAACTAAGGATTTGCCTGGAGTGATGGCTCTCCAGTGAATATTTTAATTTTTCATTACATTTGCTTGCTAAGATGTTTTGGGGGTTTTACTGGTATCCTCATCAAAGAAAACACTAACCCTTATTACCATGTCTATAATCATGGCAACAGCTAAAATCATGCAACGCATTTGAATACATAGAAATTATCTGTATCTCTTCAGGAACTCCAGCTTTCTGCACAGCACTCCAACAAACTTTCTTTTCCATACTATAATATGAACACATAATGTAGAAAATAAATGTTCATCATACCAGATCTTGCATCCTGTCTCTGGCAGTGGCTGGAAGCATCTTAAGAGCTAATCAAACAGCAAAGCATATTTCTCAATATACTCATGCATTCCCCCAGTAAGTGATGGCTCAGGGTTTTTCATAACTGGAGCTCAGACCTGTAATCTAAATTTATTTATTTCTATGAATTTAGTGAGTCATTTCTTGAGACCACATAAATATCCACAGAGGTCTGAAATGTTGCTGCAGGATTCCCCTCCTTATTACCCTTTTTTACTTCTGCTCTCTATTCCTTATTTTTTAACACAACTAATGACATTTCCTATTATCCTGTCAAACATTAGTTTCCATAAAAGTTTTGGGAAGCTATTTTATCAAGAACTTTTTGAAAATCCCAAGTAGGTTATATCACATGGTTCTTCTTTCTGATTTGGATGTTAGTTTCTTAAGACATAACTTCACTAGGTTTGCAGGACATCTGTCCCAGAAACCACACTCCTTCTCTCATTAACCACAAGGAATGGAAGATGTGAACTCTGAGGCTTATAAAAAGTGGAAGCAAGGACAGGTGGCCTGGGAAGAGTACAGGGATGTTGTCTGGGAAGCTAGGGACCAGGTTAGGAAAGCTAAGGCCTGTTAGAATTAAACTTGGCTAGGGATGCTAAGGATAACAGGAAGGGATTCTACAGGTACATAGCAAATAAAAAACAGATGAGGGAGAATGTGAGCCCCCTCAGGAAGCTCTCAGGAGAACTGGCTACACAGGATTTGGAGAAGGCTGAGGTTCTGAATGACTTCTTTGCCTCGGTCTTCACTGGCAAAGGCTCTGACAGCACCACCCAAGTCTTGGAAGGCAGACACAGGGACTGAGAATGAAGACCTTGGACCCACTATAGGAGAGGATCTGGTTCAAGACCATCTTAAGAACCTGAACATGCACAAGTCCATGGGACCTGAGGAAATCCATCCGCAGGTCCTGAAGGAGCTGGTGAATGAAGTTGCTAAGCCACTGTCCATCATATCTGGAAAATCATGGCAGTCAGGTGAAGTTCCCTATGACTGGAAAAAGGGAAATATAACCCCCATTTTTAAGAAAGGGAAAATGGATGACCCAGGGAATTACAGAGCAGTCAGTCTCACCTCTGTGCCTGGCAAAATCTTGGAGCAGATTCTCCTGGAAGGCATGCTAAGGCACATGAAAAACAACAAGGTGCTTGGTGACAGCCAGCATGGCTTCACTAAGGGGAAATCCTGCCTGATGAATTTGGTGGCCTTCTATGATGGGGCTACGGAACTGATGGACAGGGTAGAACTGTTGATGTCATCTACCTGGACTTGTGCAAAGCGTTCGACACTGTCCCACACGACATCCTTGTCTCTAAATTGGAGAGACATCAATTTGATGGATGGACCACTCAGTGGATAAAGAACTGGCTGGATGGCCGCACACAAAGAGCTGTGGTCAATGGCTCAATGTCCAGCTGGAGACCAGTAACGAGTGGTGTCCCTCAGGGATCGGTGTTGGGACCGGTCTTGTTCAGCATCTTTCTCGCTGACATGGACAGTGGGATTGAGTGCGCCCTCAGCAAGCTGTGTGGTTTGGTTGATAGGCTGGAGGGAAGGAATGCATCCAGAGGGACCTTGACACACTTGTGAGGTGGGCTGATGCCAACCTCATGAAGTTTAACCATGACAAGTGCAAGATCCTACACTTGGGTCGGAGTGATCCCAGGCACAGCAACAGGTTGGGCAGAGAAGAGATTCAGAGCAGCCCTGTGGAGAAGGTCTTGGGGGTGTTGATCGATGAGAAACTGAACATGAGCCAGCTTCAGTGTGCACTCGCAGCCCAGAAAGCCAACCGTATCCTGGGGTGCATCAAAAGGAGTGTGACCAGCAGGTCGAAGGAGGTGACCGTGCCCCTCTCCTGTGCTCTTGTGAGACCTCACTTGGAGTATTGTGTGCAGTTCTGGTGTCCTCAACATAAGAAGGACATGGAACTGTTGGAACAAGTCCAGAGGAGGCCACAAGGATGATCAGGGGACTGGAGCACCTCCTGTATGAAGATAGGCTGAGGAAGTTGAGGCTGTTCAGCCTGGAGAGGAGAAGGCTGAGTGGAGACCTCATAGCAGCCTTCGAGTATCTGAAGAAGGCCTATAGGGATGCTGGGGAGGGACTCTTCATTAGGGACTGTAGTGGTAGGACAAGGGGTAACAGGTTAAAACTTAAACAGGGGAAGTTTAGATTGGGTATAAGGAGGAAGTTCTTTCCTGCAAGGGTGGTGAGGCACTGGAATAGGTTTACCAGGGAAGTTGTGAATGCTCCATCCCTGGCAGTGTTCAAGACCAGGTTGGACAAAGCCTTGGGTGATATGGTTTAGTGTGAGGTGTCCCTGCCCATGGCAGGGGGCTTGGAACTAGATGATCTTAAGCTCCTTTCTAACCCTAACTATTCTATGATTCTATGACTTAATACACAATATAGTCACTACCACCAGACAGCTCTTGGACAATGTAATTTTAAACCAGGTGACAGTAGATGAAGTGAAAGCTGCCTTCTCTGGACATGATTGGCATGAGTGGAATGAAGGTGCACTTCATAGCTAAGTGAAGAAACAGTCCATAGGTTTCCCTGTATTTATACCTTTTCTTAGTGAGAGACAGAATCATTCAGACAGAAATAGTTTGTTTGCTAGTGGAGTGGATAACTACTGAAACAGGTGGAAAAAGTAACCAAGGTGTTTTCTTCTTTAGGTTAGGCACACAAACTGGGTGGATGATTCAAGAAATTCAGGAGGATGCAAGTTCTGTGCTGTACTAGGAGTTATTCTAAACAATGGCTACTTTCAGTCTATGAAGAACAGTTTCACTGGCTTTGTCAAATAAAAAAAGGTAGATTTATTCTACTCCTTAAACAAGAAGCTAAATTAACTTTACAAAGTAGCTGCTTTCTAGTGCAAGCTGCTGGAGAAAGATAAAATTTTGAAGAACTACTTTTTCTAAATGGAGGTCAAGAGCACTGTGTAACATAGGGCAGGATTTTTCAATGATAGACAATGAAAATAAATAAATTTATATTATCACATAAGTTAGGATGCATAAATAATCCATGTGTTTTCAGAGGTTTTCAGAGATTACAAATTCTGTGAATATTGAGAAGTTTTTTGGTTATATTTTTGTAATGTAGGAAGTAAGGAGTTGTGAATTCCATATAATACTGGTTTTTACACTAACACAGGTAAAGCTAAAAACCAAATAAAACATGTTTGTACACAAAACATTTAGTGGTGTTTCAAGTTCTCCTTTAATATTATTCAGGATTTAACTGCTTTTGGAAAAGCAATGGTTCAAAGCAGCAGCATTTCTTTTTCTATCAGAACCAGAAATAACAGGCAGTACATATAGTTGTATTTCCTTTTCACAGAATCACAGAATCCCAAGGGTTGGAAGGGACCTCAAAAGATCATCTAGTCCAACCCCCCTGCAAGAGCAGGGTAACCTAGAGTACATCGCACAGGAACTTGTCCAGGTGGGCCTTGAATATCTGCAATGTAGGAGACTCCACAACCCCCCTGGGCAACCTGTTCCAGTGCTCTGTCACTCTCACAGTAAAGAAATTTTTCCTGATGTTCACATGGAACCTCCTATGCTCCAGTTTACACCCATTGTCCCTTGTCCTATCACTGGACATCACTGAAAAAACCTAGCTCCATCATCCTGACACTCACCCTTTACATATTTGTAAACATTGATGAGGTCACCCCTCAGTCTCCTCTTCTCCAAGCTAAAGAGTCCCAGCTCCCTCAGCCTCTACTCATAAGGGAGATGTTCCATTCCCTTAATCATCTTTGTAGCTCTGCGCTGGACTCTTTCAAGCAATTGCTTGAAATGCTCAAGAACATTTGGGAGTGAGAGAAGTTTTTAATAGAGCTTAAATACATCTAGTGGAAACATTCTTTTTCTTGATAAGGAGGCTCCTCTGGAGGATTATGGAATGTCTATTGGTGGATCAGTCAAGGGGCCGTAAACCCAAAAATGAAAGTGTTTTGGATAAATCTACTGTGACTTACTTACCAGAAGAAAAATTTTCTCTTACATTGATCTGTGTAGAAATGTGATCCAGCCAAAGCTATGGCTTTGCTGACATGGAGCACAGCTTATGATACACAATTCTAAGTAGATGACCATGCATATTGCATAATGTGTAGCTGAAATGTGTGGTTAAGCCTGCTTTCCAGTCAATGACAGTGAGTGTAAAATCGTGCCCTGTTCCTCACTCTGCTCCTTGCAGTCAGTCACAAGCCACATCGTAAAGCACACTGTGAACATGCATTATGCCTTCTATTCTCTTGTTTTGCAGGAGTGCCACTAAAATATGAAGCAGTCAACATGTACGGTAGGTTTTTGTGTACATGCAATCTTGTTCAATATTTTTTTATCAAATCATTATTCTAAAATGAGCTTTTGTGCTCTACAGATACAGAATTTAAGGTTACCTTATTTACCTTCCAGCATATAAAACCACTGCAGATGGATGGGTCATATATGAAGATAAGCTATACTACATCAGCAAAAAATATACCTCCATGGAAAAAGCCCAGGAGTTTTGCAGGATGAATTCTACATACTTGGCTTTTATTGATAGCAATATTGAGAGAATATTCCTACAGAGAGCACTAAAAGAAAATGTAAGAATCATTATAAACAAAGAGCCTAAAGTAGAAATGTTTTCGACAATCTGCTTGCAAAACTTCAATTGCCTCAGAAGTAGAGCCATCAGCGTTTTCAATAATGAAATCCACCTGAGAGGAGATCTACGACGTTCACCCCAAATGAGCCCTTTGGTCCTGTGGGATTTGGTCTGTCCTGCTCTGTGCCAGCTGTGCTGAGGCCATGAGACAAGCTAGTGGACAGAGCAATGTGTGAAGTTGCCAGCTGTGTTGGCTTGGAAAGTAGCTGATATGAGAGGGGAAACTGTAGGTCGGCACTAGAAGGTTCTGCAGTCCTGGAGGAAGAATCAAAGATGTGTACCAGCTTCTGACACAAGATTTGCTTCTCTCCTACTCCATCCTAAGAGCCCTCAATGCTGCAGGACTCAGCTGTGATGTTCCAGATAAAAATCTGGCTTCTGCTATGTCTGAGTGTGCAAACACATCATTGTGCTTTACTGTAAGAATGTGCCTTACTGCTGGTGCCTTCATTGACTTCTCTGTGAACCTAATCAATGACACATCCATTTCTGCTTGTTTTGCTTAAAATATTTATTTATTGAAATAGTATCTTTCTGTTTTAGAAGGAATTCTGGAGTTCATCAGAAGGATACTTCTCTGGTCTAAGAGCGAGTCTTGACAAAAGTTTGGGTAAGCAAAGATGATCCCTGCAGCTCTTAACATGTAGAAGCAAACCCAGTATTTTGTGTAGCTGGAGGTACTAAATGTGCTGTTTTCAAGGGCTGAGGGCAGTCCCGCATAACAAGTACAAAGCAGAACAAAACAGTCCTAGAATATTCTAAAGTGCATTAGTTTTCCCCAAAAAGAAATATGAAAAGAACATTTTTTTCTTGAGTAAACACTTACCCGAAGAGAGGCTTGGCAGCTGTACTGTTCATACACGCTCTCTCAAGTTTCTGTCAAAGATTTCCCTGTAAATTGGAGTGATACTTTACTATGTTGGATTTTATACCTATAAACACACACACTTAAACCATGCTCCATACCATAAAGCTGAGCTTTAATTGTGAGATGTTATTCAAGATGTTAATTAGGATTCTCATCTCACAATTGAAATGTATTAATTAATAACTATTTGTATATCTTTTCTTTGAGCTGGATAGATGGAACTCCAGTAGCCTATGTGGCTTGGGCACCTAATGAACTCAGCTTTGCAAATAATGAGGAAAATAGCGTGGTAATGTTCTCGGAGCAAGGTAAGTAACAAGCCTAAACTATTAGATTTTACTTGTCTCTGCTTGGATTATAACTGATGCTGTCAAGCTTCTACTGTCAGCTGTCACGCAATCTTTTATGGTTGTTTTCTGCAATTTCTTTACAGTGACAAGCCAAGAAGTTGCAGTAACTGATGAAAATACCAGTCATGGAAGAATCTCTGTTCTTAAAACTGGGTGATTTTAGTACTATGTGTAATTTAATCAGATGTCTCTGGATTTATAAGACTGATATTACACCTTTTTATAGGGTTTTTCACTCTAACAGTTTGAGTGGGCTCTCTTTTCACTCCTATGAACTTAAGAAACATTTATGACAGCTACAATAAGAGGATTGAAGGTACAAGCCAGTGAGAAAGGGAGAAAGACAAATACATGTAATGACTCAAGACTTTTACATGCTTGCAATTACTCTTCAATGTAAATATCTTGTAAATCCTAGAGCTATTTTTTTCTCTTGGTGGTATTTCTGTAACTTAGCTGAGGCTAATGAGGCTCAATAACGTATGTGCAATGAAATCAATCTCCCCATTTATGTTTTATGATGAATTGACTCAGCAATCCCACCTGATTTTCTGCCTTTATATGGAGACACCAACAAGGTTCACTTTTCTAAACACAGGCATCTGGTCTGATTGAGGTGCATCCGTCCTTCTTATTGATTATTAGTTATTGATACAGAAAGAGGCAGTTATCCCACTGGTCCCTGGCATATCTACCAGCTCTGCATACATGGCTGAGCATTCCTGATCTTGTCTCAAAAGATGCCAAAAGTTTACATGTGGGAAGCTGAATTGGACCATAAGGAAAGCATCAAGCTTGAGTTGAAAACAAGATGTAACTAACGTAAGCTAGACCTCTGAAGTCTCATTTTGGTCACATGGAGATCTCACCTGAAGAACCAGCACTGTCCACAGAGCAATTGGTACCAGTGCAGTATTCAGTTGCCTATATGTAGGTGACTGTAGCCACCTGTGACACCCTAGAGTTGCCCCACCTGACTGAAAGCTTCCCACAGAAACAATGCCATATCTGTCAGCTCTCTGCAGGTACCTTGCATAGCCTCCCAAACGGTACTAAGTACCTCTGTTTAGACGAATGAATCCTGCCCTAGCTCTTTATTGACTATAATAGGAGCTTAGAAGCCTAGTGTATATCTTGATGACTGAAATGAGGTATCTTAATCTGCAACCTGAATCCCTAGATAACATTATATTAACTTGAGAAATTGGCCCCCAGAATGTGGTACATATTTCATAAAGTATGTTTGAACACTACATTGTGCCTTTATCTTGATCCATTGTTTTGGATCTCATCCATTTCAGATGCATTTTCATTTCAAATTTACTTGCTGGTATATTTCCCCTGCTGCCTGCAATGTGATGATGCCATAGCTTGAACAAATTATAAACAGGTACACACACCGTGGAGAGCCCTGGATAAGGAGCAGAAGGGTAAGGCAGTTCAAATTAAGCACAAATGGCTACAGCTGTGCTACTATTGGAGCTTCAAATGGCTCATTCAAAGCTGCCATGGTTACTTTGCCTTCAGATCAAGCTGCAGCCTGAAATATAAAACACAGAACATTTTGTTCTGCTAAAAAAATGAACCCCCTCCCCCCAAAAAAAAACCCAACCCCAAACAAAAAACACTTTGACTATTATGACTTGGAAACATTGACAGGCACCATTGTGTGAGGTACCAGAAATTTAAATAATCTGTTTATTTTAGACAGCTATATGATTTTCCTCCTCTCCCTTCTCTCTGCTACCAGGCTTGCACTAGGAGTATAGGTGCTTCAGCTCACCACCTCCTGACTGACTTTTGTAATGGCTGGGTATCTTCCCCTCCAGATAGATTGTGTCTTCATCATGGAGTTAGGTGGGAAATGGAGAAATGATCTGTGGCAACAAGAGAGGCTATACATGTCAGATGAATTCACGTGAGCTCTGTTCAACCCAGTCTCCTAAATAGGAACTGCATCTTGGATAGATAAGCTCGAATATATAATCTGATGTGATTTCTTTCAGCTCTGAATTTCATTCTGAGCATTTCAGGCTTTCAGAGCTCCACCAGTCTTAAGGCTTATCATAATTTGTTCCACAGAAATTGCTGGAGAAGAACTACTATCTTAATTGGAGTTTTGTACTTAAATAATGAATAATACTACAGAATAAAAGATGGAAATGTATTTCTTCTCAATGAAATATGAGGCTTTTTGGCAACCTCTTTAAATGCAGTGCAAAACCATGTTCTTGTAGTGGTCTACCTGTACACCTGTCTGTCTCTGAGCAGAGCATTTAATTCTCTCTTGACATTTCAACTGAATGAGTGTGATGACTATTAAAACGTACAGCCTTTTGGCTGCGTCTTTATTATAGAAGAATGCTGATTTTTTTTTGTTTGCTTGTTTTCACTTTTTTGGTACCAAAATGAGTAATGAATGTTGACTCTCCTGCTGGAGAACTTTAATTATGCAAATCCCTGCTGCCCAGCCCTACAATGGGAATAGAGAAGGCAAAGCACAGATAGCACTATGCTTCACCTTCATTACAGCATCAGTAAAATCTATTCCCCCCACTTCAATCAGCTCCTGTAGACTGTTCACTCTCATAGCTAACTTGCTTGTGAGAACTCCCTCTCCCTGCACAGTAAACATATAGTTTTAGGGTGGCATTTTTAGTTTGCTTAATACCAGTTATAGCTCTTCTGAATGCATTCACATTTCAAAAGAGGAAATACACACTGCCTGACTCGAACGTAGAGGCAATTGTTCAGGCAGCACTCACAGACAGGTTAACAACTTTGAGTGAACAGGGAGTGGTGGTCAATTAACAAACATCAAAGTCTCAGGCTGTGTGACAAGAGGGTACAACAGTAAATGCCTTAAACATCTAGGCCTATATCCTCTCTACCAGTGATCTGAAATAGGTGTACACTCAGATATCCAGATTTAATCAAAATAACCTAAAGCACAGGAATGCAAATATCCAATTTATAAGTCTTAGTCTGCACTAGTCAGGCCTCTAGAGAGTATACTCTCTACTTGCAGAAACCTTTGGAATACGTAACACAAACATTAGTATGGTGTCTGTCAAATACTTGTGCAAATTTATGACTTTTCAAGGAACTAAGTATTGGAACAGTTGTTGCATCCATGCAAGGAGGAGTTAATGTGAATCAAGGCATTTTGAACCTCCTTAAGGAAAAGAATTTTTTCTGAAGACCTTTTTCTCTGTGTCTTTCTTATGCACATAGGCAAATGGGAAGATTACAGCATTGATTCAGAGAGAGTTTCCTAAAATGTGCTATGTGAAATTATGGCTCATGTTCTTGATAAATGAAAATTAATATTTCAGGAAAAACATGGAAAATTATTTTTAAGAGAATATAGAAAGAAAACAGTATTTGAATGTTGGTAGTTATAAAAACAGTGTAAATTTTTACATGAAATAATATTATAGTTTGGTAATCTTACATAGGACTGTAAAACCTTAGTAGCATATTGTTTGCCTTACTTATGCTACCTTTTATAACAGACGTATGTTTTATTAATGCAATGGTAATACTTGAAGAATTTTTGTTCCTGTATACTTTTAGCAAAACACTCAAATTTATGAATTCTGATGAAGTGTGATATTATTTCTCTCTGATATTCATTCAAGTGGAATCAAGTGGGATTCCTCTACAGCGAAAAGGTAAGAGCCTTCCTATGAGAATTTACAAAACTCTTGATACAAGAAGAACTTAATCCAAGTTTTCCCAAATCACCCCCTTTTAGAGAACAAGTCCTGCTGACAGTTACTGGGATGCATGATTATAAATCAGAGCAGCTCCATGGTGCCTTTTACAGGCATGTGAACACTCACATATTATTGGTAAACTGGACTGCTGAAGGGGTAACCCTGAGCAGTGACCCAACTTGTGACTAACTTTGAGAACAGGCAGACAGCTTTAACTAGGCTATTAAAACTTATGTAGATGTATATGCAATATTTTTGCATAAGTATTATTGCAAATACTGTAAGATAAAAATATTGCAAACTAGTTTTCAGACAATTAGCATCCCATATCCATATCTAACGCATGCATTTTCATTAAATTCTTACAAGCATCCGCTGCACGCATTGTGTATCACTGTAATCAAGATTGCTAAAACCACATTATCTTCAGCAACAGAGACCTGGCTTCTGGCCGGCAACAATTTGGAGCTGACTTAAACTGAGCAGACTCCAAGTTCAGACAAAAGAGCTCCCCTCCTCTGTGTTTTTCATGGTTTATGTTGTGTAAAAAATTACTAAGGTTTCTCAAAGTTATATGGATTCATTCAGGGAAGGAAAATAATGAAGAAACTCATTCACATGTTCATGGCTCTGTTTGGCCACTCATTTTCTTGGCTATTCTCACCCTTCTTGGAGCTGGTGTGTCAGTTTATTTGTACAAGAGGAAAAGACAAAACCAACTATCAACAGATTCGGGCAATGAAGCACTTCTAAACTGATGTGTTGGTGACTGAAGAGTTGGTGAAAATGGATCCCCTGGCACTTGCCAATTCAGCGGATCAAGTTATTTGCTGAAAATAAAGGATGTACCTTAAAAGTCTCTAGAGAGGATATCGGTAATCTTAAATGTTTTCTCTTTTTGCAGTAGCAAAGTCTTTTGTCTCATTTTGCCCCACAAACTTCAGTCCATCAGACCAGAACTTTGGTTATTTCTTATTGATATCAGTATATTTTATTGCTCCTTATCCTTATCAAAAGCTGTTTCATATTATAAAGTGGTGCCTCATATACTTAGCTCTTGACTTAGCTATATCAGGTAACTTTGGCATAGAAAACCTTACTATTTAGATTTTCTGCTATGGAAAATACAGTTCATACCAGCAAAGTGTATTAAGCTCAGGTGTAGGTTTTGGTCTTTTTTCTTTTGATATGATTGTTAGCAATAGTGTGTTCACTAACATGAATTAAAATCTTCTCACCCTTGAACTTTTCATTTTGTTAATGGTTTGAAATAAATGAAGTTATTAGTAAAATTTTCAGCTTCAGCCTTCCCTGTGAATCAAATGAAAGGAAAGGGGAAGTGAGTTGCTCCTGTCTGCACAATAACCCTTCTGTCAATAACAAGGACAGCTTCTCTCCCTGCCACTTTGAATTCTGCATGAACATGCACCAACTTGCCATTTTTTAACGCAAGAAAAATGAAATGAAAACTAAGTAATGCAACCGATGATGCCGCACTAGGAA